ACACCTTGCTCCATTCTAGTGCTCTGCTTTCCTTCTGTGCCACAAAAAGAAGTTATTGTTAAAGCAACAAAAAAACCTCTCACTCCTAACTCAAAACTCAGTTCTACAACCAACTGCCTCAGCAGGCACATCCTGCATTAGATGATACTGTCAGACCATGGAAATTCAGCCCTCCTTGCTCTCTCTCTCCTCAGTCAAGAGAGGATTTGCACCTGTCTGTGACCATGTATATTCCACAGAACTACAAAGATATCACTTCCAAATATTTTTGGAACAGGAGCTATGCATTTTTCATCAAGAGGAACAAAGTGCCTCAAGAGTGGTTTCTGTTTCAGTCCCCCAGTTAATTCTGCAGTTGATTGCAAAAAGAAAACAAGAAAATCCTGGAGTCCACCATACAGATAAGGCCTGTGAAACAAAATTAAGTCAAAGGACAGAGCAGAAAACCAGAGCTCTGGCTGGCATCTCTTGGCTATGGATGTGTCCTGCCATATGGTGCCAGCAGCCTTACCAAGCAATGAATCACATGCAAGTGTACAAGCATTTTCCTGTGAGTTTCCACCCTTTGCAAGGCTGTAGTTGCCACATGAACATTACACAATCGCTGAAAAGGGGATGGTGCTCACACCAAGGAAACACAACGATCATGAGGCACTGAGAGCTGATCCACCCTACAAAACCCTGGAAGTTACTTCAAGGAGGGGGATATCATCAAAATTATTATTCCATGACTGTCTACTAATGAGTTCAGGCAGTGAATTTCATTTTTAAAGAGATACTACAGAAGAGTGGAATGTCAGAAACAGAGAAACACCCATCCCTGATGGTGCTGCTGATCGACTTAAGGGTTTGAGGATGTCAAACCTGTGCTTCCATTTCCAGCCTGAAGCACAGATGATGAATTGCTGGTAAAAACTGTGTATTTTACTAAAAAAAATAAATTAAGTGCTCTACAATCACTACATATTAACATAATCCTGAAGAAAGTAGCTTCCCAGAAGGAATTTGTTAATGTAATTTAATGTTTTCATAAAGAAGGTTTAGGTTTTTTATGTTTGCATTATGACAAAGCAAACAGTACTTTGACTTACTGGATATTAACTGAAGTAGATGCAAATAAACTGATTCAATTTTAAACTGTAACACCCAGACTTTAATTCTCCTGAGGTAGCTGAAGAAAAAAAATGGTTAAGACTGATGGTAATTTTAGCTCAGCCATACACACACCTAAAACACCAGTGCTGAAAAACTCCACAGCATTGATTAAATGGCTATAGAAGAAATTTAGAGGCAAGATTCCTACAGTTAGTGCTAGCAGAACTCTGTTTTCTGCAGAGAACTGAAGCAGTTAAGTTCTCCACTTGAAACAAAAACAGTCAGGAGAGCCTGCTCCCCCAAAGCTGCAGCACTGTGAAAACACTCCTCTTGAAAAGAACACTGTACTACAGAAGGGACATGAGTAGGGTGCAAGTGTCTGCTTAGCTTTCATCTATCACCCCAACCAAAACTAAGGTAAGCACAGGACCAAAACTGAATCCAAGATTGAGGATGTACAGCTAAGGCTCTAAAACCGTATCACAAGCAGCAGGATGGCTGCACTCAGGTTTGGCTATATGCTCAGAGGAAAATGCATTGCCTTATGTTTGCCCTGTTAATCTGAGGTTCAGTCAGCTGATCTCAGGAACGCTTCCAAAATATTATATGTGATAGAGTCAATGACTTGCCTCCGGGGTGCAGAACTCCACAACGAAGTCATGATTCAGCCACCTTCTCATGACCTTAATTTCACCTGTGCTTGTGATGGGCAATGAAAAAATACAGATTATGTTGGGAAAAAAAGAGAAAATCTAGGGAGATTTGTGAAGTGTGGAGTGCTGGGAAGTCTCCTGCAACACCAAGAGCTCGAAGATCAGGTGCCTATTGCCACACATTAAAAGATAAAATAAAATTAACCTCTCTTGTTAAGAATATTACTGTGAAACCATGATGGTTCACTTCAGCTGGACCTCAAGTTAATCAAACCCAAATCAAGTTAATCAAACCCAGTCCCAAATGTGGGACAAAAACCGAAAACCCCTGTGCCCTTTACACACAATGAAGCCAGTTTCAGCATGCTGGTACACAAGAGCTCCTCTGACACTGCAGCCTGCTCTTTGCCTGTTTCAGATGAGATCTGAAACTGAAGTTTGACCACTTGGAGCAACTGAGATGTGGGACTGTGAAAACCAAACTACTAAAACTGAATTGTATCCTGAATTGGTGTTGGATTTCAGCAATTCAAACCCCTGTTACAGCCCACACTTACTGAACTCCTTACAGTAAGAATCCCTGTGAAATGTTTGGATGGCACAGTGTTAACAAGATGCTGTATTTTACTATGAGTCACTGTTTCAGTGCCAGACACCACTCACCAGCCTCTACAGAGCAATGTACCTTCATTACAGATTCTGCATAATCATGCAATTATCAGTCTCCCTCTCACTACATTTCCACTGCCAACATGGACGATACCCTGTTATATGCATCCATTCAAGATGATTGAAGAGCTTTTATAGACTAGTATAACCACTTCTAACCAGAGCCTGGTTATCACAACTAACCACTGTGAGCTGAGCCAGGAAGGCTGTTCGATAACAGCCTCACCTCCTCTCGCTCTGGAGGAACGCACCCACCTGCCCCAGACACGCTTCTGCATGAGGCGGGCAGCTCACACACCATGGACACTTCTCCTTCCCGCAGAGCCCCGTGTGCCCCCAGCCGCCCTTCCCCACCTAGGACTGGGGCCTCCTGACTCCCAACCCCTCCTGACCCCGAACCTCTCCTTACACCGAATCCCTTCTGACTTCGCACCCGCTCCCTACCACCCAGCACCTCCGCCCCGCTGCCCGGCACAGCCCCGCGGAGGCCGCCCCGTTCGCGGCTGCGGCCCGGCCGCACCTTCCCGAAGGGGAGGCTGGGTACGGGTAGCGGGGCGCCCCGCCAGCTCCCGCAGCCCCCCGGTACGGGGTTGGCCGGCGGCGCCTCCCATAAACCCGCTTTTTAACCACTTTTCCTGGCTCTTCCTGCGCCCGGCCGTGTCGGGCCCTTCTCAGCACCTCAGCGCGGGGCCGGGACGGCTGGGTCCGGCGGCGGAGCCCCTCGCCCGCTGTCCCCAGCGCTCCCCAGGGCCCGGCGCGGCGGCAGCGGCAGTACGGCCGCGGGGCTCACCATGGTACAGATGGAGGCGAGTCTCCGGACCGTCATCAGTATTTCCATCCGCCCGACGCCGCCGGCGCCATGTTGGGACGCGGCCGCCCAACTGACAGCGGCAGGTGGCGCAACCTCCAAATGGGGCCGGGCGCCGCCGGTGCGTCTCGCAAAGGCGCCGGGTGCGCACTGCGCCGCGCTAGGAGGGTTCCCCGGGCATTTCGTTCCCCCCCGCGCAGTGCTGCTCCTTCCCCGCGCGTCTTTCCTCGGAGCCGAACAGTCGGACCCTGCGAGGGGCCCTCGCCCCGGAGGCCGACGTGGCGTTGTGCTGTCAAGGCCTCCCGCAGGGTTACTGCTGCTTTCTGGGCCCGTGGTCCATGCAGCTCTGGGGATGGTGGGGCCAGATGTACTCTTGACTCGTGCTTCCAATTCCCTTGGCCCATGGAGGTGGGATGGTGCCTTGGTGGGATGGGTGCTGCATGTGAAACTGGAGGAAGGCATCACCTTCACGGGCATGGAGCTGGGGGACATCACTAAATCATCCAGCAAGGCAAACTATGGCCACCCAGGAGCCCTGAAACACCTCCATGTGAATGCTGGAGCTCTGCATGTCCCGAGAGTCTTCTCAGTGGTTGTGAGCACCCACAAAAGGGCTATGATGACACCAAGAGTGATGATGGAGTGGGACAGTGGTTTGGCACCAAGTAATCCTTTGTTGTTCTGCACCATGCGTCCCTGTTTCAGCAGAATCACAGAAATGGCTCTTTCAGAGCACAGCGCTACGAATGACAACAGCATCTATTGTAAACCCAGAGGAGAAGGGGTGAGAAATGTTGCTGAGTTGCCATATAGCACTTCACACAGTGCATACCAAAAACAAACCACAGAGCATAGGAAAATATCCCTTGGGAAGCCAGGGATGGGTAGAAATGTTTGTCATCAGGAGGATCAGAGATACTGAATAGTGTCAAACCTGGAAGGAGGTTTTTTCATGTTAACTATAAATGGAACAGTGCTGATGGAGGTGTCTGGACATCCTCTACTCATGCTGTGCACTCAGTCAGCAGCAATGGGACTGTTTCCACATGCTGCCCCTTACTCCAGCCCTGACCTTGTGGGAATATCTGTGGGGAACCAAGGATAGTTCAGTTTCCAAAGCACAAACTCTTTTTATGAGGCCAAGATGTTTCCATTCTATTTGAGTTGCTCGCCCGCAGCGATGTTCTCTTACACACATTGTACTTTCCACGTCATCTACTACAGGCTCCCGAGGGAGAGGATTCAGCAATGTCAAAAAGAAATCCTTACAGGGTTTCCATGAAGAGCAATGTGACAAAATTAGGGACAGGAAATCCAGAAATAGAGGAATTTGTGCCGTGTTTAACCAAATTGAACTATGTATTTAAACGGTTGTCTCCCTTACATCCCAAAATAGGATCAAATATGATTTATCGTGGCTGTCGCAATAGCATCTGAGGACACTTCCTTTCCCTTTGGCCTCAGGAGCAGAACAACTCTGTGCTGGGTACAATTATGGTGCTAAAACAGCAGTCTCGTCCCCAGGCAATATCTTCTGAGGTTGCTACTGAAGCATTTTTCACACATTATCCCCATGATCAATCTCCACACAAGGTGAAATCCCAAGCCCACAGAGAGAGGCTGGCTCCCTGAGCACATCCCATTCCAGTCTGTTCCTTTATCTCCTGGAAGAAAAAAAAAAAGCTTTTTATTTGCCTTTCCCACCTATTTAGTTACTGGGAGCAAAAGGGTGGTTAAACCACTACTTTTATGTACAAGGAGAACTGGCCAGATGGTCAGACAAAGCCTCAAAGATCAGTCTGCTGGTGCTGGGAAGATAATCAGGAGCAGGGATGTGTGCATGAGCCACCAAGTATGGGTTTAATCACAGCATCTGCCAAAGCAACTGGCGTTTCCCCAGCACCACATTTAGTGCTTCTGCTCAGAAACGAGCTGTAGTGCTCCAGCCATGGCACCACAACCTCACTTTGCTCTACAGAAACATCTGAGAGGTACTCAAGGCAAGTATCACTGGTACAAATAGCCTTTTAGAGGAAAGAACACTTTTACCAGTGAGAAGTGGGAGTTTTGCCACCACTCTTTCCCCTAGGCAGAAGGGAATCACCATTTCCCAACACACTGGCATCTTAGCAAGGTTGTTCATCTGTTGCTCCTTGTGTGAAGTGGATGAGGAACAATCATATCCAGTTTTAAAGGCAATTTGACATCCTTATATGAAAAGCACTATGGTAATAGCAAATATTTCTATTTTTAGAAAGCTCCATCTCTGAAGATGTGTAGGGCTGCCAACAACAACAAAAATAGCAAATCTTATCAAAGCCATAGCCAAAAGCAACACAGCCAGTAAAGAAATCTGTGCAAAATCTGGTGTGGAAATAGCATCATCTCTGTGCAACATGCAAAGGGGCAGATCTGTGCATGGAGCAACCCAAGGAGTGGGCAGTGAAATGTCCAGAATCTGCCAAATGTTTTCAAAGTTGCTCAGAGTTTTGCAAACACAGTCCCTCTAATTTAAGCTATTGTTTCTCCAAGACAATTCAAATTTAAAACATGGGTTTCTTAGCTAAATATAAGTCCATTGTGCACAAACAATGAAGATCTCTTCTCAAAACAGCTCTTCTCTACATGCCAAGGGTTATACAATCTCAAAGAGGGTGAATCCTTCCGAGTGGTTTCACTCAGTGCTAAGCCTGTTTTGACAGCCTAGAGAATCAGATAAGGAAAACCTCTGGCTTTGATTCTGTATCTTACTCTGACTCTTTCAGGCTTAGAGACTAAAAGTTATGATTTGGGATGGAAGAGCTTGAGAACAGATTTAAGATTTTGGAGAATATGCTGCTTTTTTTAGTGTCACTAAACCCCCTTCTTCCTGGACAGAGCTTACTGCTCACAGTAGGAACAAGCTAACCCTGGGTTAGGGCATAAGGAATTTAGATTGAACCATATTAGTAAAAGAACTGGAAATGGATTGGTCTGCATCCAGGGTGCAGTCTAAAACTGCTTTCCCATTTGTCTTAAGCAACCAGATGCCATCACAGCTGCCCAAAGAAGCAGTTCAACATTTCCTCCACCATTGGTCTTTCATTCCTGCCCCCACACATCTCCCTTCTTGTGTCAGCACCAGCATCCATCCATACAGGCACATGGTAAACAGCTTCTCCAGCCTCTCCACATGCAGCAGCTGCTCCACAGCCATGATCAGTTTTGGTACCCTACCATGCACCTTCACAGCATCCACCATGGTTCTGAGATGCAGAGAGCGGCAGGCCGTGCTACAAGAGTTCATTTAAGCAGCAAAATCCTAGCCTACATCTCCTCCATTCACCTTCCAAGGAAACCAAACAGTTTGCTGGCTCTTTCTGCTGCTGTTTCACACAGTGTGAACTGACAGTGATGACTGTAGGAACTCTTGCTCACCTGCTGACTTTATGTGTACTCACTCACTTTTGTGAGATCCTTCTGGAGTTCCTCGGCACTGGCACAATATCTGGTTACCCAAAAGGACTTTAACTTCTGTTTCTGTTGATTGTGTTGCTTCTCTTTTGGAGCCAGCCAGCAGATCTGTATTCTTCTAGGAATCATAGAATCATAGGATGGTTTGAGTTGAAGGAACCTTAAAGCTCATCCAGTTCCAACCCCTGCCATGGGCAGGGACACCTTCCACTAGAGCAGCTTGCTCCAAGCCCCTGTGTCCAACCTGGCCTTGAACACTGCCAGGGATGGGGCAGCCACAGCTTCGCTGGGCACCCTGTGCCAGTGCCTCAGCACCCTCACAGGGAAGAACTTCCTCCTGATGTCTAATCCAAACTTACTCTCTATGTCTTTGCTTATATAAAATATTCTCCATGATCTTGCTTAACTTATCTGGCTTTTTTCCCTGGGCTGAAACTCTTCTGGCCACCTAGAAGCTGATGGATGTTTTCCTGTTTGTTTTTATGGGACGACTGTTGTGATGAATGCTTTTATATTACTAACATATGCTTTTAATAGCAAATGGTAACACAGGTTCCAACATCCTACACTGAGGTGGACAGTTACTGCTGCTAGCTAATCCCAAAATTTATGATGTGTCCAGCTCACAAAGTGCCCTGTTAACTGACCGCAAGTTCTTGAGCATTTTCCCATTCCTCCTCTCATTTTGCCTGTTCTTACAAAACTCATGTGAGATTAAAGCATCCTGGTAATGACATTTCCTGGAAAAGGCTTTTCAGTGTTTGGGACTTCGACAAAATCGGGCAGCAAATTCACACTGGAAGATTTGAAAACCATTCACATAGAAGCCATGTTCCAAAAGACACATGATTTGGTGGCTCCCCCCCCCCCCCCCCCAAGTACAATGAAGCACAAGAGGCTCCAGACATTTTGTTCCTCCTCTTCATCAGCCACCTCTTCATCAGCTGATTGTCATGGTGGTCAAAATAATAACACTTATTGCTTACACAGCAACTCTGCACAAGTACTGCTTCAGAAGTAGGTTTTGGAGGGGAAACAGAGCCTTAGAAAAGTGACATGTCCATAAATCTTCTGACTTTGTGCTTATTTCACTGGGCTGCTGTGCACCAAAGCTGGATTTTTCTAAAGCCAGTTCACACTCAACATATCCTCTGTGATGCTGGCGTGGAAATTGAGGCTATTTGAGAGCCTGTCCCCCAGTGCTTTTGGAAGGGGCAGTGATCCAGAGACCTGACCTGATTTTCCCTCCTCCTGTGCTAGCTCAGAACCGTACCCCTGGCCACTAAAACTTGCTGGGGAGAACTCATGTGGATGCTGTGATCAAAAGCAGTGGTGTGAAAGCAGCTGGGCAGAAAAGGCCCTTTTGATGGCTTCAGCCTCTATGCAGTGAGCCATGCCTATCTTCTGCCCACTAGAAGCATCCAGAAGACAGGAAAATATGCATCCTCAGGTCTTTATGTTTTGTGGGTGGATTAGCTTGTGGTGCCACTTCCCATTAACACCAGGGCTCCCACACAGCGCGACAGAGCCCACGTCTCAGAAGTTGCTGCCTGCTCCACACTTACCTCTTGCCACTGCTGCCTAAAGCTGCTCCTGCCCCTCACGAGCCTCCTTAGAGACATTTGTCAAAGATGAAAGCTCCAACTATATTTTCTGTAGTTGAATTTACATCTGGTTTATATTATTTGCAGTTTTGCTTTATCTGGGTCATACCCTCCCCACAGCTCTTCCCTTTTTCTTCCCATTATCCTTGAGAACTGAGAGCTGATTGTAGCTAGTGTATGGTTACACACTGTCATCCCAACAGACCTTGCAGCCGCCAGCTGTCTTCAAACAACAAGGAGTTTTCCTATGGAAGTCATTCTTTCTTCATTCCCTCTGTCTGGCTCATCTCTCTGAAGGATACTGAGTCCTTCCTAAGCCTGTCGCCAGCTCTAAATTCACTTTTCCATGTTTGGAGAAACTGTGATGTCCCAACCCAATGCTAACCCACATTCCAGCAGGCCATTAAGACCAATGATGTGTATAAACCAGCAGATCAAATGTATCCTGGAGGATACATACGTGAGCTGGTATTCTTGAATAACCCACAGCTGCCTGAAAACTCTGTGTGTGTGTGTAAGAAATGTGTTTGTTTTCCTGGGGTGTCCCATCAGCTTCAGCACTCCGAAGGGGCCCAACCTCAGGACACAATAGGAAAGGGAGAACAACAGAGCACGGAGTTGGAGCCAATTGAAAATGCAAAGAAACTGGACAGGCAGAACGGGATTATTCAGAGTGGAATTAGAGCAGGGCAGGGGGGTGCCTGTATCTCGCTGAAAACACCACCGTGGTGACTGTGAAACACGAGAATCTCGTTTTAGCGAAGAGCCAAGGGACAGCACAGCAAACAGGCAGTGCGGAGAGATAAAGCAGGGAGCAGGGAGGTGGTGGATGGAGGCACACGCTGGTGCCCGGCTGGAGGAATGTCATGGCTTCAGTTGTGATTGGCTGGGGAATGGAGGAGTCAGTTTTCACGGGGGCTGATCAAAAAGTTCCCTTTTGCTTTCCCAAGTTGCTGTCTGAGCAGAGGCATCGGGAAGAGGAGCCCAGTCGCGCTAACATTCCTTAGGAACACTGCTTAAATGAAACGAGAAGGCTTCTCTGTCCGAGGATATACAGCCAAGAACAGACGCTGGGAAGCTGTTTTCCTTCTTTCCTCCCCCAAGTCCTGCAGGAGTTGAGCAGCTCTCCTTCCTGGCATGCGTCTCATCTCTCAGGATACTATGTCACAGTATTCTACTAACTTTCTCTTGCTCCCCATACCCGAGTATCCCGTGTTAGACTGCGTGCCCAACAAAATCATCAAACTCGTGGTGCTGGGCGGCAGTAGCGTTGGCAAGACAGGTAAGTCCACAGGTGTAGCACTGTGCTTCTCTTGCTGCTGTACTTACAAGCTCATTTGCAGCTAGGATAGACCCAAGGCTGTGAATTAACTGTTGCAGCTTGAAGGCTGTAAGCGATTTGAGGGTTTTCTGCACTAAATAATGGGTGAGGCAGATGTGCTGTAGCCAACATGAGGTGGCAGTTAAGAGGAGAGAACACTGTTGGGAGCTCTGTGCTCACAAATGATCCTACCTGGTCCTGTGCAAATTATTTAGCCATGTTTAAATTTGTACACCCCCAAAAAACGGTCTTTATTCTCTGTTGTAAATGTTCTATGCTCTGCAGACAAATAACAGCATACAAATGTGTCTCCCTTATTATTCTCCAGAGGAGAGGAGAAGAAAAGAGGGTAACGTGAGAATTATTGCTTTGGATATATGGTTCCTGATTTCAGATGTTATTAAGGCTAATTCTGTTTTACTACATCTGAGGTTCCTCAGGACTCAGTAAAATGTTTGGTTGCTTTGGATTTGAAGCCACATTTTGATCTCATGTTTAAGTAGTGTGTTGAAGAGAGCTGTGAAGTCAATTTGATTTAAGGGTACTAAAGAGGTGACCCAGTATCCACTGTGAGAAAAGTGTTATTTTAAATTAAGTCTGTGATAGAGTTGTTTGCAGAACAACCCCTTTTATTTAGCTATTAACTAAATGGTTTTGCAAATGATTAGGAATCTGCTGAGAGATGAAGCACTACAGGAATAAAAGTTACTGTTTCCACAACAGGATCTGAAGTGTTATAAATTGAGCAAGAAAAAGGAAACTCTTCCAATCCGACAGTGCAAGGAGGGTGAATAGGAAGGCCCAGGGCGCTGCAGCACAACCCATGTGTGCAGAGCACATGCAGTTTGTTTGCTGGGTGTGATTAGGTTGCGCTAATGGGTTTCATGAGGAGGAGTGAGCAGTTTTAAGGCTGGGAAGAACCATTACATGCATCAGCCTCACTTTGTATATGACACAGAGGTCTCAAGTGTGGTATTTGGATTAGTTTCAGTTTCCTGGCTTGTTACTCTTTTTCCAAATCATGTCAAAACAGAGGTCAGGCTTGTACCTGCAGTCACAACAAAGCAACCTCCCAGTCCTACACTGAACAGCGACACTCAGTCTAAGGAGTCATTTCCAGTACAGTATGTGAAAAACTGCGTTAGGTGTCACAGCCTGGCCCCAAATACTCTTCTGTGAGTGTTGAGAGAAGCATTTGCCGAGTAATATGTGAGCAATTCAAAGATTAATGTGGTTTCATATTATCCTAACTCTTCCAGTAAGATGTGACACGTGTTCTGCAAAGATTGATTTTGGTTCACATTGAAGACCCATCTTTTCTGCGTTGTTTTACAGCCCTGGTTGTGCGCTTTCTCACAAAGAGATTTATTGGAGACTATGAGGCCAACACTGGTGAGTCTGCTTTGCACTGCAGCACTGAAATCTGCTCTATTGTGTGACTGGTGCATATTACAGGAAAGCCAAGCAGTGTTATATGTCCATAAGATGCATATTTTCAGTTAATAGCCTCAAGCTATGAAAGCAATAAATCAAAGGCTCATTATTTATGATCGTGTTAGCTGGGCTTTTTCCAGCTTGGTGGAAAAGGATCAGAGTAAAAGGTTTGCTTGGGGACATACCTATACTAAAATGCAGGCTGAAGGAACAACTTGCATATGGACAAAACCATGGAATCCCAACACAGCTCCCTTTGAAACCCCAGGGAAGCCAGAGGAATTCCGAAGTGCGTGAAAGGCACTTCAGATGTTTTTCTGTGTCCCCCCTTTTACTTTTGCTGGCTTTTATGACAAGGGAGACTTCCAAATTGAAGTCTTCTTTCTATAAGATAAGTAAAATGACCATGCAGACTGATTCACTGCATTTTTTGTTTAATCTGACACCTCAAAGGAGGTATAAATGTGAACTGTTTAATTCACAGCCTCTCTTCTAAGCAAGTGCCAAGTGTACTGGCCATGTTGTATGTACCCTGTACTCATACCTACTTGCACATCCCACACGTAGACCACCTCACATTTTTGGGGTTAAGGAGGACAGGAAACAAAGTGGTGATTGCTTCACTTTGGAGATATGTGCTGGACTTAGAATGATGAGTTAGGAAAGGAGATGGCAGTGAAAGACCCTTTGATCTCTGCCTATCTGATGAAATACAACCTGAAAGCTCCTCCTTCCAGCTCACTCTCACTGACCCTATGT